ACGCTGCGGCTTCGATCTCGGACGAGAATACGGGGAAGCAGCTGCACGGCGCTCTTTGCGTTCTTGTCGTTGGGATCGAAGGGTCTTGCCCGTCTTCTTCTGTGGCGAAGGTTTTGGCGGCGATTCCAGAAGCACGGGTGACGACGTCGTAGGACTGTAGCACGCGCGGATCGTCCGTGATGGCGAGGGGGATGTTGACACGGCATCCGGAGTCTTCACTTTGTCTGTCGTCGCCGGCGGAGACTTGTTCATGGGCGTGAACAGGCAGGCGGTCTGTTCCGGCATCATCCACGGAGCGTTATCCGTCCCAGTACTGGAGAGATCATCGTCGTCGCTCTCGTGACGGTTGTCGATGCACTGCCGAGCCGAGAGTGCATTTGGCGGCGTGTTCTCGTCGCTGGACGTGTCTTCAATGCAACGGCGCTGCCAGTGGATGGCGGAGTGTGTCAAGTGCACCATGTCCCTGTCACTGCAGAGCAAGTTAGCTAAGAAAGCCGTTTCCCTTGTAAATGTAGAACTTACCGCTCACTTGGTTCGGATGCCAGCTTCTCGCCTCCAACGGCAGAATGAAGAATGAGAGAAACTTCAAGTTGTCGGCAAAAATATATAATCCAGACGATAAGTCACCAGAGTGACGGTCGATTAAAGCTTACAAAAACAAAGATAAACTTTAAGATGGCTACACGACTTAAGACTGCAGACGGAGCTGCTTATCGAGACGATATCTACGTCTCCGCAGATTTACGTCGGGCATAAGGTACCGGCATATCGCTGCAGATAAGGCGTTCGCATAATGTATATATGGCAGGCGTCCAGTGAGCAGGTCGTTTTAAACAGAGTAAAGGAGGAGAGCAGTGCAGGTCGTTTTTTTTAAATAAATAAAATGGTCCTTTCTTATTGTTTTTTTTAGGTAACCCAGTCTGACAATCGGACACAAGCCATTTTTTTTTTTTCATTTCAGAGGCTAGCAGTCGCTGGAGGAAGCGCGCTGCTGCGCTGTGTCAGAGTGCTGCTCCGGGGAAGGGCGCGCTACTGAGACCGCATTGCTGTCGTTGCAAGAGTGAACTCCATCTCCAAGAGTGCAGACGCCATTGTTGAAAGCTCGCTGCTGACGTCAAGCATGTTGGATAAAGGTATGTTATTGGGCTTATCCTACTTTGACGCACGAAAAGGAGTACCTAAAATGCAAGGATAGCGTGTGACTCTGCTATGCAAGCATAGGACTACAAGAAAAAGCTTGTCAGCAGCGTCTGGCGGAAGTGTTTGATGCGCTCGCTCTGGTTTGAAACGTTAGTGGTGGTGTAGCAATGAACGGAGCCTGGTTAAAGTATTGGAGCTCCGTGTCCCGGTGTGTCTTGAGGAGTGTGCAAGTGGCTTTATCCCAGTGTGTCTTGTGGAGTCTGCGGGTGGCTGTAGCCTTGGTGACGGTGCGTGTGGTTTGTCGTATGGGAGTCGTTGTGAGGGTGCGTGTCGAGCTGGGATCTCGATCGCGCTGGATATCTATGCAATTGGGCCAACCACAATGGCAGGTAAACCACAGTTTGCAATTGTTAGCAACCGGCACGTAGCTGACGCTGAGCTCCTGCAGAGGTTCGATGTCGTCCAGAGTGAAGATGCCGATGCGAGTCGCAGTATCCGGCCGGTACTCGAAGAACGCACAGTTGGGGTTGCAGGCGTGGTCCACGAACCGGCTCAAGTTTCCGCATCTGGCTGCGTCGATAAAGATGGTCCTGCCATCGGTGGCGGGGTGGCGGATTTGAATGGTGTGATCTGGGTTGTGGCGTCACTCTTTCTCCCTGGTATCGATCAGATCGCCAACATATTCAACGACAAAGGCGCCCCTGTGTATGCGACGCGTTGCAACGACACCAACTCCACAGGCGGATCGAAAGAGCTCCAGTGGATATGTCTCGATGAAGCGATTGCCACACCCGATGCCATTGGGGCAGCTCCTGTCGTCACACATTGTGTTGGTGCTGACGTTGTCGCAGCTCGATCCACCGTCGCCCACGCAGATCTGCGAGCACACACAGGGCTGGAATCGGGTGTACGCGAACCAAGGGTGCCGTTCCGGACCACCGGTATAAACGATGGAGCTAATTGGGGCTACGGCGAATGGCCATTTCTCCAGTACGATGACGTCTTGCGCGGCACCGATCCCCGACCACGGAGGCTCCATACCGTTGATCTCTGGGCTGTCAGCAAAATGTACTACAATGTGAATGGATTTTGATCTAGTTAGTGGCGGCCCACCGCAAGCGAGGACAGCATGGAGGATACTCAAGACTTCCGCAGAGTTGATGTGGTCGCTTTAAGGTGGGTGGGCGGGCGTCCGTGGAAAATCTTTCACCCTTGAGGCGCGTACGCAAGAGCTTCGGAAGCCAACACAAAAAGGTTTTAAGACTTCTGGCAGTGGATACGGCGGCTCAGCAGCGATCTATCGTGGAAAGTCGTTTATTGGCAGAAGTGGCTACACCGATCTAGACTATGAAACCCAACGCAAAGAAGCCCCAAGGTTTCTGCGCTGCGTGGATGCGCCGAGGTGAGTGGTCGCAAAAACGACCTTGGGTTCGATGGCAGCCCGGCGTGAACACTATAAAACACACCGGAGAAGGCTCCCGGATCGGCGATCACGTACGTCAGCATGGATCGACTTGGCGTGGAAATTCTTTGCGGCGGTGGTTCCCTGAACGATCCCTGGAGACGCTGTAATACGTCCCCGTAGAAGACATGGCGCGGCGATAGTTCGTGATCCAGCGCCAAGAAGCTTCAGGGCCTCCTACCTGGAGCTACTGGTCAGCACCAAGGCAAGTGGTCGTCGAAAATCTCTCGACCTCAATGCATCAAGAACCTTGTGATCCAGCGCCTAAGGTTATTGTGGAGTGGTTACGATTGCGTCCTGAGGATGAGTTTCGCTGTGGAAAATCTTGGTAATTGAAGTGCGAACCTTGAAACCAACGCGGAGGAGCTGCAGGACTTCGGCCGAAATCGCCGGACAGCTATTGCCCTGACGGGCGCGCGATGCCATCGTGCGCGCACGACAACGCTGTGCTTGGTTTCGGCTCACTTTTCAAAATGCCGAACGCTAACCTGATGAACGCACTGGAGCAAGAGCTGGAAACGCAAGTTGAGGAAGCCTGTCGACCGCCGTTCAGTTCGGTAGACGCCGTCCGCGACTTCATTTCGAACGAAAACCCAAGTTCGGACTCAAGCGTCTCGCTCGAGATGTGCGTCATCGCGGTGAAGGACAGCTGGAACCTGATCCGTGTCCAGCTAATCGACTACGACTACACGAGTCGGGTTGAAGAGGTGCTTCGACTAATAAACAAGCTTGACGTCCAGCGACGCTACAAGTTTGTGTTCTCGCTAACACTCTGGAAGGCCAAGAAGGTTGATCCCGCCAATCACTGTGAATTTGAAGTCGGCCGCGCCTACACGTTTGCGAAGGTTCACGGCCTTCGCCTGTACTACGCGTTGACCCAGGGGAGCTCGCAGTTACAGATCAACCGTGAGGCGGAGCCGCTGTCTACCACCGACGAATACGACCACGATCTTCAAGAACTCCAGTCGGCTGCTAAAGATGCGACGGTATCCAAGATGGCTGCCAGCAGAATTGACGGCGGTCGCGATCCCGCTGGCGATGATGCCAACCCGTCGCCAAAGAAGAAGATTCGTGTCCCAAAGGTCGACGGAAAGAAGAAGTAGAAGCCGTAAGCTGCTTTAAAAGGGCTATGCCTTGACGCCCACTTGCAACTTCAGCGGAGCGGCAACCTGAAGACAGACTGAAGTCAAGCACACACAAATCCACATGCGTATACATTCACAAGCTATCGCTTAGCACACTTTGCACATAACTCTAACATGAAAGCTGCTAACAGTACGAAGAAAGGGAGAAATGAGCAACACATTCGAAATCTTCCTTTTGATATCTTTGCGTTGCTTGCGGCAATGGCAGCGTCGATCTTTTCGCAAGCGACATCTGACAGACAAAACTTCGTGCCAGTATCCGAGTAAGATGGAAACTGTGCCGTTAAGAGAAGCCTTACTTCGAGTTCTTCGCAAAACCACCAGAAGCTAATGGGCAGGAGATCTGGACAGGATGTTGGGGGTGAAGTGAGACCGATGGTCGTTGACGCGTGTAGTCACAACAGCTACCGTCCCCCTCTCAAACAACCGGCATCAGTACCTGTAAACACACGGACAGCGAGTCACCAACCACGACTGGCATTGCACCGCAGCAATTACCGAGATTAGTGTTCCGGCGCCAGGGCTCACGATGGCAAGCCGTACATGAAGGAACCGATGCATTGCAAGTCTCAATTACGACAGCGTTGTCAAGCACAAATCATAAAGCAGATGGGGGTTCTCGGCAATATAGGTCAAGTCAAGAGAATCTAACAGGGCATCTACAGCAACAGCGGTCTTCTGCTGAAACCACCATCGGTTGTGTCCGTGAACGCACCCCTGATAGCGATCTAACCACCTCGGAGATGCGACCACGGAAGTTACCGTGTTTGGTGCTTCGTCGAAGAGATACACAATGGACTGTTGAGGCAGTAAATGAATTGCCAGAGACCTCAAAAGTAACGGATCAGACCACTTCGCCATGGATAAATCTGGAAGCAGATAGATTTCGGGCGTATCGAGCTCAAGTGCACCAGCAAAAGGAGGAGCAGAGTGTGTACAGTTACGACGAGCTTGCAGCCATTGATACGGACTATCTATTTGCCATACCCAGTGATGAACGGCTCGCTGATATTCAGGATACAGCAATGAAGAAGATGACCGAATATCAGGTTGAAGACGCCGTTTGCGGTGTTTGTGAAATGCTTCACGCTCCCGATCGTGTGAATATAAGACCGCTGGGAGCTGAGTTACTGAAGGTAGGTGCGGTTTTGAACGATGATTGTAGCAACTAATACAAGACCTTATGGACAGCAAATGCAGGAGCGCTTAAGAATCCCCGTTGGTGCGGACATACCAGAGTTTATCGTGAAAGGATATGATGCTTCGAGGATACTGGGTAATTTGAGCGGGATACTTGTTTATCCGCCAGGTGATATTATCTGAGGACCGTGATAGTGAGCTTTTCAACTGACCCTCTGTGTTATCGATGGTAGCTTTCACAAAAACTTGGATGGAGAGACCCAAGTAGCGATTTGTGTTTTGTGCGAGCAGGAGTTGCGAGCCAACACGGGAAACAGCCCGCCTGCCATGGCGATAGCAAACGGGAATTATATCGGCTGGTTACCGCCGCATCTGTCGATGAGCAATGCATTGCTCTCGTGTCACCTTGTGTAGCACTGTCCACACTTACTGGTGGTCACTGTAAAGGTGTGGAGTCTCATCACTACATCGTAAAGAATACAGAAGGCCCGGTGCTTGGCATGCTACCACGAGATCTGACCAACAAAGTGCGCGTGACCATGGTGGGGGTCATGATATCTGACCAGCAGGCCGCCTGCAGAAAAAGTTACGAACTGAATTTTGGACTATGTAAGCAGGCTCTCAAATTCTTTTTGCAAAATAATGGGCTGTACAAGCGTGAGAGAAATCGTATTGATCCAGACCTTGCAACTCTTTGGCAGAAGTGGCCAAAACATCAGTGGTAATTGATCGGACAAGTGAATCCGAATCACCTCTTCAAGGTGACGCGCTCGAGCAAGCCTTGCGAGACGACAGTACCTACAGCACGTTCGGATCAACCATTGGGGAAGGAGATAGTGTCGCGCTTGAACAAACCGCAGTCTCAAGTTCTAAAATTTTACTACAACAAAAAGATGCTAGCACCGAGAAATCGTATTGATCCAGACCTTGCAACTGACGTGTTAGTGCGAAAGTCAAACGCTTACGTGCAGTCAAGGAATTAGAAAGCCGTTGCCGAAATTTTTCCCTCTTTGCTTCCTGGAGGGTGTGGCGGGCCGAATGAAAAGCGGCGGAGACGAATTTCTCTCCGAAAGTGGGTGTTTCGTCCCTTATCTCTCGCTGGACATCGCTTTGAACGTCACTACGCTTTTCTGCTTCTTGCTTTTGACTTTCTTGCTCTGCGGAATGCCAGACGATCCCTGTTCGTGAAGATGAAGGTGTGAACAACGGCACTTATTGCTGGAAACCTATCGAGAGAAGCGATTTTGGAATCCGTTAAATATTCCAACCATCTTGCGCATGCAAACTTCCATGGCTTCCTGCCAGATCCTATCCCTGAATCTGTTAAAAGAGTTATCGATTTGCGTAAGGGCCTTAGCACTAGCGAAAGTGCATATTTTGGATCGAACGTGAGCCGGATGAGAGCAAGACACGACCTATTTGGGTACCTTCAGCGCTTTGGCGTTTTACAGCTCTTCTTTACCATTTCCCCGGACTCTAGTGGCACGTACAGCATTGCGGTGAAAAATGGGGACGTGCCAACAGCTGCAATTGAGTCCGCCAATTTGGCTTTGTTACCAACTCGTGCAGAGCGGAAACAAATTGCTGGAGAAAATCCTATGCAGTGCGCTCGATATTTTGAATCCGTCGTGGACACTGTTATCGATGACATATTGGGCTGGGACGTTGCCCGGTCTCGACCAAAGAGGGGAGGAGGTGTTTTCGGTGTAGTTCGCGCTTTTGGAGCTGCCGCAGAAACCCAGCAAGCGGGCGATTTGCATGCTCACTTTGCAGTTTGGTTGTATGGATTTCCGAGAACGTGGGCCGACTTAAATGATGCTTTGACTGACACCGTCTTCAAAGCAAGGCTGGCTAAGTTTGCTGATGCTGTCATGACAACAAATTTCCCAGCTCTAGATGAACCTAAAATTTGTCCGTCAGCGTCTTGCGGACATCAACTGCATCCAATTGAGGTCGGCGTACGCGCATTTCGTAGACCGCTTCCTGGTCAGAAAGCCCCAGCTACTTCGGCACGTCGTGCCGAAGGCAATACTGCGATAAGGACATCCTAAACAATGCAATCAATAAGCAGTCACGGCGTGCTAATGAGCCGATGACACGGGGGTACGAAGACTACCTTAAATGCCAAGCAATGGCCAATATCACCTCTGGTGATGTCAAGACGATCTTAGCGGATCGTATATCAATCCGTGATGTTCAAGTGCACTTCTGGACCCACGCAAAATCTTGCTTTAAGGTACCTAGGTGCTTCACAATTTTCTAGCCTCTTGGTTATAGTACTGACCAAGCTGTTTGCTTTTAGATCACCTCGCGAACGCCGAAAAGATCAGTATGCAGATTTTTTTTAAACCGCATGAGCCCTCGCTAACACCAACACACGTCGGCGAAAATGGCTGCTTGAAACTTTTCCGCTCGATAGGGTGCGAGTATATGAACCCTTACAACGCAGTGATTATGAGGGCGTTCAAATGCAATCACGACGTGCACCTTGTCATGGGATCGGATAAGAGGAACGTGGCAGCGTACGTTTGCAAGTACTGCATGAAAAACCAAAACGCCGTCGAAAATCGGATAGCATTATCCATTGCAGCTTTTACGAAAGGTGTAAGGAGCGCAAACCACCTCCCGTCGGATTCTTCAACTGAAACACGGGGTCACCGCATTCTCGGATCCATGCTGTATTCGATAACCAACGCACAGGAGATGGCGGCACCGATGGCTCCGCTGTATATCCGATGAGAGTCCCCATTTTGGTTTTCTCATAAAATAATTCACATTGACGCTGCAAGATTACTGAACACCGCCCCCAAGAGGTGACCATACATCCCGACTCCGTTCTGCGAGGAAAAGCTCCTGATGTTCGATCTTCCAGCTCCGCACTCGTTAACTACTGGAATCGCCACGCATCTTTAGAGAAGACTTGGTTTGCTCGAGTCTGCGAGTAGTTCAAACTAAGTCGTCGAACTCATAACTCGTCGTTTAGTAATGCTGGTGTTCCCTCAAGCGAGTGTATGTTTGTGAAGTCCGACAAACCTCAAGTTGTCGTAATATCGGGTCGAACACTCCCGGATATTTCAATGACGTGTGATGCAGAAACTAAAGATTTCTACTTTTGTGCATTTCTTTTGCTGTTTCGACCCCTCCGTCGTATGGAATTCATTGCGATGGGACTCAATGCTGAGGAGGCTTTTGAAAATTTTATGAGCACTGGTCATGCGAGTGCGGTGGAAGCGTGCCGTGAGTTTGAACATCAATGGGCAGATTTTTACCGTAGCCAGTATTCACGGGATACATCGGAGCTGTCACCGGAAGACCAACTATTGCAGTCGCGTCAGGACGACGACGAAGTAGATGTGTTCCGCAACTACCCACCCTCGGACAGTGAGAGCAGCGACAGTGAACGAGATTTTGAGATGGGTGACATTCCGCCCGATTCCATCATGGATCCCGTAGCTGCTAATTCCCTGAACACTGCTCGAGAAATCGTTTTGACAGCTGCGAATTTGCCTACGGGTATCGACTCGATGGGCAAAAGCTACCCCTTGATGAGTTACGAGTTGGGCGTTCCTGCTACAAATGCAGCCACCAGCTTTATCGAGCAAATAAATCAACCGCGTCGCAATACAGTACCCAGCTTCCCGACCGGTACCACAGATTTTCCCCAAGCATTTTCCGAAACATCAACGAGACTGGCCAAATTTGACGAGTGCTTTGCACCAGTCCCATGGATCGATCCCGCAACACGTACAGCTTCCGATCTGCAAGATTTCCCTACCATTAAATAGGTTTCGTTGGCGTTCAAGCTGATTTTTTGGCAGCACGTCATGTACGAGACTGCTGCGCGACATCTTCTATTTGCCTATTTGAGCGATGTGGAGGATATCTTAGCGCAGCCACTACGCCGCAAACCACTACAAAATCCTTACGAAATACGTCAACAGTTCATAGGTTACTTGGGTGGCGAGGCGGAAACAGGAAAGTCGGCTGTAATTCACTCAATGCTCACCTTTGCCGACAAATGGGGCCGAGCCGGTAGTGTCGAGAGGATCGCCTTCACGGGTGTCGCGGCAATGAATATTCGAGCGAAGACAATGCACTCGGCGAGAAACTTGAAAATATCTGGCAATGGGCAGCGGAGCGGACCGAATAAGCAAATGAAAACAGACTTTGCGCAGGTCGTGCTTACGATAGTTGACGAGATTTCCATGACAGACCAAGCGCTTCTGAGCAGCACCGATCTTGCATCGCGCGATATGACCACAAGCCCTCGCCAGTTTATGGGAGGAAAGCACACACTCCTTTGCGGGGACTGGTCCCAACTTCCTGCTGTATGCGGCTCTCCATGTAAGTCAAACAGCGTTTTTCACAGCTGCATTTTTTCTGATAGTCTCTCATAATGAGATGCAGGCTATTTACCTCCAATTGAGACGGCCAGCAGATACAACCACGCCTGTACAATGCCGTTAATTTTGTCGTGTTCCTGACGGAAAACATGCGTGCCGCGCAAGACGCAGCTTATGCCAACATCTTATCGGAGTTACGATGGGGTTGTGTATCCAGTGATGCCTTGGCACGACTCAACTCCCGTGTCGTAGAGCTTCCGTCTACGAGCGAGAGAACTTCGACGTTTTTCTGGCCGTTGGTGGTGGCAACAAACAAGATCAGGTGTGCAATTAACAAACTCATGACCTTCAGTGTATGCACGGAGATGTCGTTGCCTCTATATGAGATTCGTGCTGAGCCAAACGAGAAATCAAGACAAATTTTCCAGCACATTATTAACGCAAATGATGATCTTACCCAGCGGATCCCCTTGCGGTTGTATTCGTTCATCGGGATGCCGATTATAGTGACGAGAAAGCCGCCGCAGCTAGCAGATCTGAAGGCTACTGCTTATGGCACGTTGGGTACTATAATCGGATACTATCCACCAGCTAATGAGGCTGAGTCTGTGCAAGTTGAATCAGAAGACATCGTGGTGACGAGATTGTTGAAGACACCCCAGCTAATATTTGTTCGTCTCCACGACTGCGATCGCGTCCTTGTTCCTGGCTTTGGTGCCGGGGTCATCGAAATCCCCAAAATTTCAGCTACACTGTCAACGGTAATTAGTCTGTGTGTAGAATTAGTCTGAGTTCATAATTAGTCGGAGTCAGACTATTTAATGTTTTACCAAAATATCAACATTCAGAAATAGTCTGACTATGTCGAGTTATTAATTAGTCTTAGTTGGGCCGAGTGGGTAAGAGTGCAAACAGTTGCTCAGCGCAACATGGGTTCGAGTCACCCATTACATTTTACCTTTGAAAACAATTGTGTTTTTTTTTGCTGTAGTGGTTCTCGAAGTGCCGACCAAGTGAAAGCACTTATATGTCCATCATTATTTTTCTGAGAGTCTGATGTTACCTCCGCTTCGGTGGTAAGGGTGAAGGACTGGACGGTAGAGGCCCCCAGCGTGTGGCACTCCCCTTTATCTTTTGCCCTCACTCTCATTTTACCGCCTAACACGTCAATCATGCCTGCCATCAAGTCTACGGCTCCGTGTGGAGGTTGCGGCGAATCTGTTGGTTCTGTCCACCGATGTTCAACGTGCTCCTGTCACATGCATCTATTTTGTGGTCGTCCCATTGGTGATGAAGGTTTTGGGCAGTCTGTGGTTTGTCCCGGATGCGAGGGTTCTGGTGGCCTCTTCAAACACTTCATAGATCGTTTTAGCTACAAATACCGTTACGAACGCTATTCAATTGTTAGACAGCGACTCCGACATTAAACCCGACTCCGACGCGGACGCCGACTCTGACGTTAACACCAATTCCTCGCAGCGACAGTCTTCACAGACACACCAACCACCGCGTCACACCCAGATCGTAAGCAGTGTTGCCCATCGCCGAAAGGTTGTACGCTGGATGAACGAGCACGAGGTCATCCACGGGGAGAAAGGGATGTTTTCTAAAGCTGTGGACCAATTTCCTGCTCTATTCAACTCTGCTACGCGCGCAGCCAACTTAGCTAAGGCTGTAGACTGGTGGAAAAAGAGGGACCGCCTGCTTGAGACGGAGCGATGCGTTGTCTCGATTTCGGCGCGTCGGTCCGGAGGAAGGCGTCGTGTCAGTACGATGGTCTTGGCAGGGCGCGGCAGACCACGGAGCGCGTGGGTCGAGTGGCTGTACCCCTTGCTTCTTGACGAATTTGACAGACTTCGGAAACTTGGAGTGAAGTTTGAGCCGGCCCTATTGGTGCAACTGGCCAAACAGATCCTCCGGGACAGCCACGACTTCTTTAAAAGCGTCGACGCTAACGGTGCTCTGATAATTGACAAGATATCGACTCGCTGGGTTCAAACTTTTATGGGTATGTCTTACGCGCGGAAGGAAATGATACGGTGCGGTTTGTCGCTCGGAATTGACGGCACATGGTCTATTGATCAGCTTTACCCTCATCTTTGAGAAATTATAAGCAAACACCGCGCGCACTTTGATGGCGAGGTCGTAGTCAACAATTCTGAAACATAAATCATAACATGTAGTACAAGTATTACAATTCGTGAATTTGGCCCAGTCGTTTGTGTCTTGTATCTCCAACGCGTTTATCGACGGTTCGAGTACCCTCAAAAGCATTTTCACTTTTGTGTGTCAGACTATTTTTGAATTCATAAATAGTCTTAGTCAATGAATAGTCTGAGTCAGACTATATACTGTTAACAGACTTGAAAACCATAAACACAAAATAGTCTCGGTTAGACTAATTACCGTAGACAGTGTAGTATCAGACCCAGCATCGACAGCTTGGGTCGAGCAAGCATCACAATCGAGCAATTTCCGATCGTGCCAGCTTTTGCCTGTACCAGCGAGAAACGTCAAGGCAAAACTTGCTGTGATGGTGTAGTTGTGACACCGTCGCACCGGAAAGGAGTTGTACCTCCACATACCCTTGTACCTCGCGCTCTCCAGGGCAAAAACACTCGAAGCACTCACACTCACGCAACCGCTAACGCCCGATTACATCGCCAAATTTAAGCCGAGCGAAGCAGATGTCGAAGAGATGCAGAGGTTGATAAGCATGATCCGAGCGCCGCCTTACATACCATAAACTCAGCGAACGCTGTTTGAGAGATGGAAATTACAGCAACACCCGACCACCTAATACAGCAGTGCAATGTCAGCAAAACCAAGCATAGTACCACAGTCTCTATATGCCAAAGACATCATTTTCACGTGACCGAAGCGGAGCGCCGTGGGGCACTCCCCTCAGCCGCCGCAGCGACTTTTGCGAGAGGTTGATGCTTGTTTGTGCAAGATAAATATGGTGTGGCTCACACACTTTTGTAGCTAAGAGACATTACGCGCGGAGCGCGACCCAGTATTCTATGCCTTTTTAGCAACACAAATGGCAATATGGAAACTGCCTGTAACCGTTTGAAGGCTCCGCCTGCCGAGATCGCATGGTGGCTGCTCGGCTTCTGCTGAAGCGCAGTTCCGACGGCGTTGGTGATGAGAGCCTGCTTGCCATTGAGGACGATGAGGGGTCCACGGCAGCACATGTGGCGACTCGCAACGGATTGGAAGACATTGCTTGTCACCAAATACAACTATTTGTGTAACGACGCACCAACGTCACAGCCAGTTGGTACCAATGCGTCCTACTTTCCTTAATTGACTTTCTCCTACTGTCCTATCTGAATGATCAGGCCGCCATGCGCCTGGCCGAAGGCAATCACCATGTTTGGAAGAACACTTCCTAAATGTGGGACTTCAAGGACATGCATTCTGTTACATTTAAATTCACTATGAAGATTCTAGCCTGGTTCAAATGAACCGCGGTTCACTACTGTACTTCGCTATGCTACTTCAAGATAATACTCAAGGACAACTTAGAATCTAGTGTAGTGAAATGAAAATAGAGATTTGACAGGGAAGTTTGGAGACAAATGTGTTGTGCAGCTGTTATTTTTCCATTGGAGGACGAATGGACAGTGACAGCTCCGAAGACGAGGAGCTAGCGCTTCTTGCGCTTAATTGTGGTGATCGCCCGTGCCTAAAACGGTTCAACTTGGATCAGCCAGCTACAGCTCCCGTGTGGAAATCAAAGTTTCGCTATGCAAAAGACGACACCCAGGCGCTGATAGTGCACTTTCGTCTTCCCGATCCCTTTCCGACAAGATAGCGCTACCACGTTTCCGCATTCGAGGCTTTGTGCATCTTCCTCCGCAGGATGGCGTACCCAGCCCGATTGGATGACCTCAAGGACCTTTTTGGACGTGAAACGGAAGCAATCTCATCGATCTCGAACTCCGTACGCGATTATCTCAACCATACTTTCTCTCATCTATTGCTATTCGACTCAAACCGGCTAACGGAAGACACTCTGCAAGCCTACTCTAGAGCTGTCTTTGTGAAAGGGGCACCTCTTCACACATGCGTAGGATTTATAGACGGTACCGTTCGTGTGATGTGTCGGCCAATGCAAAACCAGAAGTACGTTTATAACGGGCATAAGGTACGTTGTTGGATAATGAGGAACACGCCAACTTTAAAAACTTACCACGTTTACTGTTGTTATTGTTATCAAGAGGAAGCATGCACTGAAGTATCAATCGGTAATTGCTCCTGATGGAATTATCATCCACCTCAGGGGTCCTTACGCAGGAACGCGTCATGACGCTTTTATTCTTCGAGAAAGTGGTCTTCTTGAGGCTGCTGCTGAGCATCTCAAATTTGGCGGCAAACATGACGTTTTCTATGGCGACCCCGCGTACGGTCAACAAGATCATATTATCGCGCCGTTTAAAGGTGCGTCGCTCGCAGAAGACGAACAGGAGTTTTGCAAGCGGATGAGTGAGGTTCGTGTTAGCGTTGAGTGGGGTTTTGGCAAGATCGTACGATACTGGGCGTTTGTTGACTTCGCAAAAAACCAGAAGCTGCGCTTACAAAGGCTGGGGAAAATGTATGCCATGGCAGCGTTTCTCTCAAACGTTGATACGTGCGTCTGCGGCAGTCAAACATCGACATCTTTCGGCTTGGCGCCGCCAAGTTTAAGTGAATACTTGCACAGCGGATAATACAACGCTAAATCTTCTATTCACTCAATTATTTTCCGTGTGCTATCGTTTCCAATTAGCTTTGCCATCATGTGCATCTTCGACGACATCATTGCCATGAATTTGTCGTTGCGGTCTCGTTCTTGCTTGTTCCGTTCGCGCTCATGGTTCAGTCTGCGTTCTTCAATATCAAGGCAGCGTTCTTCAAGAGCATGCTGCTGTTGCCTTCCTTCTACTCGAGCTTTTCGCTCAGCAGCCTTTCCTTCAAGATAGTCGGAACTGCGCTCGGTGTGAGATTGCTTGGATCGTTTTGAAGGCGGTGTTGTTGTCTGTTGCTCATATTCTGGGCTACTTGAGCGAGTACGACGTAATCCCACTAAAGCATCTCTAACTACTTCGGCGGTTGCCGCCTCACGAGCCTCTGCATCACGCTTTTCCTTTTCGGTTTTGTCTGCTTTCTCCTGGACATGTGCATTAAACTATTCATAGGTTAATTAGAAAACAGCATTAGTTGCACGATAAGCATCGCACAAGAACTTACCAGCTCTGTCCGATCCGTCAGCAGCTGCTCGCGTTCTGTGTACTCCTCCGAAGTCCCCGAAGCTCGAAGAGATTCCTTCTCTTCGCGACGAAAGGCGTCATGTAGAGCACCAAACGGTCTTCGACATACTTTGCCGTCTGCTGTACACGCTGGCAAAGCTGCATTGATGCCACTTGCCACCTTCTCCCACGCCACTGGTGTTTTACCGTGCCCTGCTGACCATGGTGTATACTTCACCACCTCCTTTAGACGGACGACACCACTTTATGGGAGATAGCGAAAGGCCTCCTTCCGCGTTGCCTTGGTCGCTGTCATACTGCCTGGTACGATGTCTTCGTTAGCGCCTCTGTCTTCCCTTAGCATTGCAATTTGCAAACTCACGTCAGCCTTTTATTTGCTGTCACCCGTCTCCACAGTGAGCATACCTCTAACGTACTTTTCCTAGAGACAAAATCACTGTGATCACCAATCCCTACTCATCACTGCTCCTTTTCACAGTTTTGTTACCGTAGCACAACCTCTCTAATATTTTCATAGGGTACACAGGGAACGCTAACAAGCACTATCTCGTAGCCGCCAAACAACTAACCATTTCAATTTCACTTTCCAAATTACCCACTTTGAGGCACACGACAACTGCCTCTCAAGCTTCCCCTTCGCGCCTCGCCTTCGCCACCCTCTCTAGCCTTCATTCCTCGCCACGCGACCCTTCACTCGTCGCTCTTCGTCCGCGATTTCACCAGTCGTCACATTTTGTGTGCTCACTAGACGCTCCTCGATCTTCTTTCTATCAGGCCTCCTTCGGATCAGAGTTTTTAGCACCACACTCCGATCGTTTGACAACATAGTTGAATTTACTCTACTATCATCTACAACAGCACCAATGAGCTCAAGTTCCCCTGTTAGTCTTCTA